CACCAGCCTTCAGTGTGGTGAGGTTGGGGTAAGGTTTGTGGGTACACAGAGAGAAAACCGTGAGCAGGAAAGGATTTGGTTTCCTGTGTTGCTTTGTTGTGTGCCGACAGTTACCTGGTGCAGGGCTGCAGTAAGGAACACACCTGTAGGCAGGTGAGCTTTAAGGTCCCTCTCATCCCTCTCTGGGGCTCTGTGAATTGGTGTGATGGGGTTGTTGTCAGAGTGACACAGGACAGAACATACCAGAGCTGCCTCATTCCCACTCTGGTTTTCACACAACGCTCCTGAACCAGTCCCAAACAAATCTCTCTGGTCTGTGGGCTTTGTTACCTCTCCCTGCTGGCTGGGGCTCAGCTCTGATAAAAATAAAATTGAATGTACACTGTGTGCACTCTGGGGGAGGATCCTGTGAGTGCCAACGGAAACATTGTCTGTTCGGATGTGGAGAAATACAGCATTTGCTACTAAGGAGTGAAAATAGAATTCGCCCAAATTACATAAAAATAAGAAATTATAAACCAAATGGCATCACTGCTGGGCTTAACGTGGTGTGGGACAGACTTACTCAAACTGTCTTTGCACACTCAATGTCCTAGCAGTGTGGCTTCCAGGGTTGAGGGGTTTCTGAGAGGGTTCAGTGCTAATTTGGTGAAAGCACTTAGGCCAGTGTTTTGGGAAAAGCTGGGTTGACTGCCCTTAGTAAAAATGAAAGTATCTCTTGATTGTCACCATGTTACAGCAGGTGAAAACAGCAAATAAGGGGTGACTCAGTTTTCCTGGCCATTTTCAAGAGGCACCACACAAGGAGCTGCAGAGAGCTCAGCATGTTTCCTCAGCATGCTCAGGGAGGTTTCTCCCAGTGTGCTGAGCTGTGGCTGCCTTCTGTCGGGGTGCAGCAGGTGAGAACTGGCACCATGCAAGGGACAGACGCTCAAACCCAGCCCTGGAGCAGCAGCGTCCTCTCCAGGCAGGGCACTGGTGAACATCTCTTCTTGGGGAATGCCACAGGTACCTTTTCACTGGGCTGCCTACACTTAGGAGATGTAGGGGATCTTCAGGGCCATACTCACCTGTGGAGAAGGATGCCAAATTAATTTGGCTTAGCCACTCTGTTGTTAGAAAATAGCTTTTTGGTGGAAGTATTTGAATATTCTGATTCTCTGTTCAAGTGCAGGATTCAAATGTCATTATCTAGGAAGAATACACACATGCCAGTTGACAGGCCCTTAAAAAAAAAAAAGGCAAAACCCAGCCGTTCCTGAGTATGGAACCACTATCCTGTGACCCCATCTGTCCTAAACTGCACTGTTGTTCTCCACAGATGATAAATTCCCAAGGTGGGAAGTCACTCTTTACTCCTTTCAAACCCAGACCTCTGCAGATCTCTGCTGTTCATGCCATGAAATACTCAAGCACTCCACACTGTAGGTCACATCAATCTGAAGCCAGTGTGCTTTTCTAGCCATGTAGTTAATCAGGAACTGGTTATTTCCCAGTCCTCTGCCTGCAAATGCATTCCATGGGCACTCAGTTGCTTTTGGACAGCTGAGGAGTGAGTAATAGCATGGGGGTTCTTGCGTCAGAATAATGATGAGGGGAAAATGGATGAGAGGTTCAGAGAAAGGAGGAAAACGTTGTTTTGAGCACAGTGGTCCGATCCTGGCATGTGCTGAGAGTGTCCTGAGCTCACTCTGACTTTAGGAGCATTGGGAGGCTCAACAAAACACTGAGCAGCCTTTGGATTTGGGGCTTGCTAAACAATTGTTACTTGGAAGTTTGGTTTTATAGAAGCTACCCATTTCCACATTATTTATTCTGCTGATTGGCTCCTCCGGATTGCTTTTGCTCTGGACAAATAAGTGACAAATCTGGGAAGAGGCAAACTCGCCAAATTTAAACAGTCAGGGCTCCACAGACCAGAGCTAATATTGGCTGAAGTGGGGTCGTGCTGAATGTGATGAATCCCCACACCAGGGCACCCCGGGAGGGGCGTTTGTGTCGGTGCCACCTGGGGCCCTGCTGGCAGGAGCGGACTGGGGGTCTGAACGCCCTGGCCCCAGGGTCCTGCTGCAAGGAGGGAGCACATCCCCTCGTGCCGATGGCACGGCAGGGCTGGGGTTTGGGGCCCTGCCTCAGGGGGGCTGCTGCATGGTGTGTGACAGCTGAGTCCTGCGGTGCCACGGCAGGCCCCAGGGAAAGGGGGATGTCTCCAGAGCAATGAGCTCCTGAGAGCCCCTGGCCACGGGCTGGGGGAGCGTTTCCTGGCTTACAGAATCACTGAAGCATTTATGTTGGAAAAGCCCTCCGAGAGCATCCAGTCCAAGCTGTGACCTCATCAACCAGCCCAGAGCACCGAGTGCCACATCCAGTCCTTCCTTGAGCACTGGGTTCCTCTGGAATCCCTGTTGTTGTGTGTAAGAGCTGCTGTTCCGCAGCTTGTCGCTGTCCTTTGTCCCTTTTTCACCCAGCGCTCCCTCTGCACACGAGCTGTACCTTCTCTCAACCCTGCCTGAAACTGGGCAGCTTTGAGGTGACCCTCATAAGGTCATTTATCCCTCCCTGCCACGGCAGCAGCAGCAGGGCCCGTGCGTTTACTGAAAGCTTTGCCTGCCAGCTCTGACCGATGGTTGTTCCCTCTCGTGCATCTCGTGTGATGGAGCATCCCCAACTTTTCCTGACATCTTGCTCAGTTGTTTTGCTGTTCTTCCGTTGTTGCAGCTGATTCTGGGCATTGTTTGCTGAGTGGAATTGGAGTTACTGTTTGTTTCTTCATCGGTGCTTTATCATGCTGCCGTTTCTGCACACTTTGTGTAACTTTTTTTCTCATAGCTGAAGACGGATGGCACTGCACGGCCGGGGCTGGGTTGGAATGAGAGGTTTGGGGAGGGGAGGTGGTGCTTGCGAGGCCATTGATCCCATCTTTATAACTTTGCCCTTTTAGCTGGGAACAGATGATTTGCACGGGGGTTGGAGATTTGCGCAGCCAGAATCCGAAGGACCAAACTTTACATAAACCATTTATACTAAATGCTGGGAATGCTGGCAACATAAATCACCTACAGTATCTATTACAAATTTATCACTTTATCAGTATGGTCCGTGATAGGAGTGGTCCGAGCAGGTGGGGAAGTGAACCTCAGGAAGTTTAGCCTGCTCGGAAATTAATTATTCAGGACACACAGAGCCTGGCCCCTTCAATGTATAGTAATTCTTTCCAGCCAGCATCCAGGCCTCCAACTTCAGTGCAATAATAAATAGGAAAAGTCTCAGGTGAAACCAGTATTTCAGAGTAATTAATCATCTTCCCCTCACAGTCCCTCCACCTCTCTCTTGGTTTTCTTTAACGAGGGAATTTCAGTAATAAATCTTTAATGATATGTGTTAAGAATCCTTCATTAATTCTTGTCCACTTATTTCTCTTTCTTGGTTGCTTTTGTTATATGTTGGGAAGTTCAAAGGCATATACAAAAAAAACCCAGTTAAATTTGGCCAAGTCTCTAAAAGGATGTTTAGGATGTCGAGTGTCATGTGTTCACTTAGTAGTCGGACTTGTTGGTTAATACCAGTTGTCTTGTCAAAATCCTGGGTGTGGGTACCGAGTTAGGGCAGGATGATAAAGGAAAGGCAGGGGTGGTTTGTGTGCTGCTCAGTGCAGCAGTGCAGACCCTCAGCGAGAGGCTCAGTGTGTGTGGGGCAGGCACAGCCCGTGGGGCAGGCATAGCCCGTGTGGGGCAGGCACAGCCTATGTGGTGGACAGAGCCTGTGTGGGGCTGGCACAGCCCATGTGGGGCACTCACAGCCCGTCGGACCGGCACAGCCCGTGTGTGGAGCAGGCCCAGCCCGTGTGGGGCAGTCAGAGCCCCGTGTGGGGCAGGCACAGCCCGTGTGTGGAGCAGGCCCAGCCCGTGTGGGGCAGGCACAGCCCGTGTGGGGCAGGCACAGCCCGTGAGGCAGCCCAGCCCGTGTGGGGCAGGCACAGCCCGTGTGGGGCAGTCAGAGCCCCGTGTGGGGCAGGCCCAGCCCGTGTGGGGCAGTCAGAGCCCCGTGTGGGGCAGTCAGAGCCCCGTGTGGGGCAGGCACAGCCCGTGTGTGGAGCAGGCCCAGCCCGTGTGGGGCAGGCACAGCCCGTGTGGGGCAGTCAGAGCCCCGTGTGGGGCAGGCACAGCCCCGTGTGGGGCAGGCACAGCCCATGGGGCAGGCACAGCCCCGTGTGGGGCAGGCCCAGCCCGTGTGGGGCAGTCAGAGCCCCTTGTGGGGCAGGCCCAGCCCGTGTGGGGCAGTCAGAGCCCCGTGTGGGGCAGGCACAGCCCATGGGGCAGGCCCAGCCCGTGGGGCAGGCACAGCCCCGTGTGGAGCAGGCACAGCCCGTGTGGAGCAGGCCCAGCCCTTGTGGGGCAGGCACAGCCCGTGAGGCAGCCCAGCCCGTGTGGGGCAGGCACAGCCCGTGTGGGGCAGGCACAGCCCGTGGGGCAGGCCCAGCCCGTGTGGGGCAGTCAGAGCCCCGTGTGGGGCAGGCACAGCCCCGTGTGGGGCAGGCACAGCCCATGGGGCAGGCCCAGCCCGTGTGGGGCAGTCAGAGCCCCGTGTGGGGCAGGCACAGCCCCGTGTGGGGCAGGCACAGCCCATGGGGCAGGCCCAGCCCGTGTGGGGCAGGCACAGCCCATGGGGCAGGCCCAGCCCGTGTGGGGCAGTCAGAGCCCCGTGTGGGGCAGGCACAGCCCATGGGGCAGGCCCAGCCCGTGTGGGGCAGTCAGAGCCCCGTGTGGGGCAGGCACAGCCCATGGGGCAGGCCCAGCCCGCGGGGCGCGCTGGACGCGGCAGTGCCCCCCCGGCCTGGCCCGGCCCGGCCCGGCCCGGCCCGGCCGTGCACGCAGAGCCCGGCAGCAAGCGGCCGTGAGCGGTACGGGATGTGACAGGGACAGCTGTGACAGATCCGTGCTGACACGCTGCCGCGGCGCCGGCCGTGCTGCGGGTGACAGCTGTCCTTCCCTTCCCTGCAGGACAGCACAACGACGCGCGCATGAACCTGGCCATCGCCCTGACCGCCGCCCGCTACGGCGCTGCCACCGCCAATTACACCGAGGTGCGGCACCTGCTCAAGTGCTCGGACACGGGCCGTGTCTGCGGCGTGCGCTGCAGGGACGTGCTCACCGGTGAGTCTGGGGTTTGAGGGGTGTATGTGGGGTTTGCGGTGTGTGGGGTTTGGGGTGTGTGTGTGGGGTCTGCGGCGTGCGCTGCAGGGACGCGCTTACCGGTCAGTCTGGGGTTTGGGGAGTGTGGGGGGTTTGGGGTGTGTGTGTGGGGTCTGCGGGGTGCACTGCAGTGATGTGTTCACCAGTGAGTCTGGGGTGTATGGGGTCTGTATAGGGTTTGGAGTGTGTGCAGGATCTGTGGGTTGCGCTGCAGGGATGTGCTCACAGGTGATTGTGGGGTTTGGGGTGTGTGTGGTGTGTCTGCAGGGATGTGCTCACAGGTGAGTCAGGTGTGCAGGGTCCCACTGCTCACAGGTGAGTGGGCTCTGTAGGGTGCCCTGCAGGGGACAGTGACACTCTGGGATAACATGGGAGGGAGGAGCAGGGCCGCTGCTGTCTGCAAACAGCCCTGAACCAGCACACGAGCCATCTTTCTGGCCCGTGCCATTAGTGTCACTCAGTTTCCACTTCTGTCACATTTCTCACTCAAGCCCCAGTGTTTTGGCAGGCCAGACTGAGCCTGGCATCCCAGCCCTTCTGTCAGGCAAAGAAGATGACATTGTAAAAGGCTCCATGCTGTACAGTAGTAATCCCATTTACTGAGTCTGTGGGCTGAGACTGAAATCTCTCTTCTTGAGAGGCAGATTTCAGCTGAGCAACTTCCACCCCACCTGCCTCTCTTCTGCCCTTACAGATAAGCTGGGATTCCAGTCTAAAACATTTTCTCTCAAATCTGGTGTTGGATGAACACTTGGTTAATTTTTAGAACCTGTCCCAGCTGTTGTGTAAAGGTACACTTTACAGTAGGTTGAGTTCATAGAGAGATGAATAACAAAGAGCATCAGTGAGCAGGAAACAAATGGTGTCTGTGATTGATACTGTTTTCTTTCACAGGGAAGGAGTTCGATATCAAAGCCAAGTGTGTTATCAATGCCACGGGACCTTTCACAGACTCAGTCCGCAAAATGGATGATCAGGAGGTGCCCAACATCTGTCAGCCCAGTGCAGGCGTGCATATCGTGATGCCTGGATATTACAGGTGAGGCAGGGGAGCCTGCAGCCCGTGAGACACCATTTGTAATCTCTGCTGCTGCTGCTGAATAAATCAGCTGGGAGAGGCGCGCCGCTGGCTCTGCGGCAGCTCGCCGTGCACAGTTTGACTCTGATTTTTGTTTGTGTTTTTCAAAGAGGATCCTGGCGCTGTGCCGGGGAGGAGAACAATTTCATCTCTTCAGAACAGACTGAAGCCGTGTAGTTTTTAGTTGGAGCTGCCCAAGGCAGCTGAAGCAGAAGGCGTTTAGGCAGCACATCCCCAGGTGTGAAAGCACCTGTTTCAGTGATGCCTTTCAGCTGAGTGTGCTGCTGCTTGGTCACCCCCTCAGGGAAACAGGGAGCATGTAAAACCTTCCAGAGAGGTTGCACCTTCATACAGAATCTCTTGTCCTGTTAAATCATGGAATCTCAGAGTGGTCTGGGTTGGAAGGGCCTTTAAAGATCATCTTGTTCCACTGCCTGCCTTCGCATGTGAAACTCCCTGTGCAGTGACTCTGCCGGGATGTGGCTGTGCTGAGAGAAAACAGGAGTGCCGAAGCACAGAATTAGTGAGGGGATGGGCAGTGTAATCAGTAATGATAATTACTATCACGAGTAATAGAAGTAGCTCAGAGTAGCACAACCACATTTTCTGTGGCCCCAAGCCCACGTGCCCACCCCTGGGGGTTTTGGTGGCCAGGACGTGCCCTCCGTGTTCCAGGAGAGGTTCCCGTGGCACTCTGCTCCCTGCAGTCTCCTGCTCCTCTCCCTGTTTGCTGTGCAAAGCCAAATCCCCTTCTCCCGAGCCAGCCTTGTCAGTCAGAACTCAAATATTGCCTTTGGTTCCTGAAGTCATTAGCATCCTAATGGAAATTCCCCTTTATGGACTTAGCCCACTTGTGTTGATACAGTGCCCTTGCAGTAATGCCTTCCACAGCCCCTCTCAGAATGGGAATTCAGCCTTCCAGTGCACCAGGGGGTGCTTCTGCCACAGCTGTCCCAACAGGACACCACCACACACTGGAAAATTGAGGCATTTTTGGCCTGGTGTAAAATCACCCCTGCATTCTCTTCTGGGTTTTTTTTTTTTTTTCATTTTTGTATCTTTCTCCATGAAAAATGGTAAAATGACCTGATAGCTGCTTTAAAGTACTAAAAATGTGGAGAAATGGGCTGTAATCCCAGTTTCCTCATATGCCAGGAGAAGGATGTGTGTGATTAGCTTTATGGTCCTGCACAAAACATGGAAGGCTTTGGAACCTGGACTCACTTGGTAAATTCAAAGTAGAAGATGGCTGGATACGCTTGAGAGCTCTGATTTATTTATTCTGTAATAACCCAATAATTTTAATTGGAAATGTGGAGAATTCTTGTTCTCCATGTTCCCCGGTGTATGTCAGCATGTGGGCATTACTTTCCTTGGAAAATAGTATCTGCCCACACACTGCCTCCACAGCACAGCTGATAAGATAACACTGCACTGAATTTCCTTGGAGTGGGATAGCTGAAAGCAGGGAACTGTCTGCTAAATAGAAAACACTCGTGGGATTTAATCTTGGTTGTATCAGGCCTTCCTTCCCGTGGTGCCAAGGAGCACTGCTCAGCACAGGAAGGTTGGCATTTCACCGTGTCCACGTGTGCCCTGTGAATGTGTTACAGGATTTTGGCCCACAGTCACACAAATGATTTTTTTTTTTAACATCTGTAGGGTTTTAGTTATAAATATAGTCAAGATTTTGTAAAACTAATGTTAACCTAATGCATTCACTCCCCATGGGTTTCTTACTCATTGAAGTCCTTCATTAATAGTCCCAGAATTCCTCCCCTCGTTAATTAGGCTTCCTGCCTGGAAAGTGTCTGTGAAGGCAGGGCTTTTTCCTCTCCTTCTGACCAATTTCAGATGTTTCTGTCTTTCTGGAGTTTTCCTCTTTGCTCTGCATTCCACATTCCAGGTAAACTTGCACCTCACTTCGCTATGGAAAGTCACTTTATATTGTTATTTAACTGCATTTGTGGTGCTTTGGTCGAACGCTTCTTCAGCTGGAGGTCTTCCATGGATCCAAGACCTTCCATGGATGTCCCAGACCTTTTGCCTCTACATTTCTCTGTAAAGGCATTGCTATATGCTTCATGCTGGAATTTCCAATCCTCAATTTGCCTATTTTAGCCATCTTTAAAGAGAAATCTCACCGCAGCTACATGGCTCTTACCTCCTTCTCCCATCCATGGCGGAATCATAGGAATTCCTGCCTCATAAAATCGTGTTGTTTCAGAGTTATTCCTGGTGTGCAGCAGCATGACTCCTGAGGCCTCAGGAAGGCCAGTGTTTGGGTGTTAAGATGCTTCTTTCTGATGCAAAACACCTTATTTTGCATTTGTTTGGGTGGTTCTTTAGTTATTTAAATAAGCTGGAACAAGCATGGCAAAGGGCATGGAGAGAGAGCTTCCCAGGATAGCTGGTATCAGTGATTCAGTAAATAACTGGCATATGAAACACTGTTCCAGCCTTTCTCAGCACTTGCTGTGCGATCTAAAACACTTCAGTCCAGAGGTGCTGTGGGGAAACTTAGTTGGAAGTCTTTGCTTGTTTATCTTCCTTGTTTTTAGCAGTTTTTATGAAATCACATAAAAAAAAATTCATACTTTGAAGAAAATGTCTATAAAGTTTCTGAATTCTGATACTGTATATTAAACCTCTGATTTCCTCTGTCTCTAAATCAACAGCTTTTTCATTTTAAAAAGTAATCATTTGTCTGAGGTGATTTACCTTTCCCAAACCTGTATTGACTTCCCCTATTAGATTGTACCTCTGCCACCGTATGCCTAAGCTGTCTATAAATATCAGCTAAAATGGGTCTAATATACATGCTAGCTATGAAATTCTCAGCCTCTCTCCCAGCCTTGCCAGATATTGCCAGCTTCCCCTCAGTAATCACTTCAGACTTCCTAAAAAAGCAATATTCAGCTTGAATAGTTAAATCCCACCCAAGCAGGCCTTTGCCTGCCGTAGGATTTGAGTCCACTGAATAATTCCCCCCTGAAGTCCATAACTGGCGCCTAAATCTGCCTCTCCTGCCCTCCTTCCATGTGCTCCCTGTGCCTCAGGAGCAGGGGCACAGCCTGAAGAGCCCTGACCCGACTGCACATGTAAAGGGAGATGCAGCACCTTAAATGAAAGTCAGCATCAGTCCTTGAAGGAAAAATGATCGAAAAAGGGGCAGTTCAATGTTTTCCTACATAAAAGCTGTTTACTTTGAAGAGTTTATAAAAGCCTTTTGTTTTCTGAAATACAAGCAGAGCTTTTTAATAAGCCATGAGGAGGTAGTGGGTTTGTACCTGTGGATTTCTTTCTTACATTACACCAGAAAAACCTGATACATTAATTAAAATCTATCCAAAGCACTACGGTTTTTCATCCTTCTACTGAATCATTCTGTTGTAGCACTGGCAGAAGGAATGAAAAATGCCTGAGTAGCAGCATCCACCGCGTGTCCCTTTTGCCTTTTTCCCCTCAAAGCACAGTTCCCCGTTCAGGAGCAGAGCTGGAAGCACTCAGAGCACGTTCCTTGGTGCAAATCCCTCGGGAGTCTGTGGGTGTTCCTTCCTGCTCAAGTGGCAGGTGGTGACAAACTCAGGCTTAGTGTCACTGCAAGGATATTCCTTAAATGTCTTCATTTCTCTTCTTTATTCTCTTTTTCCTCTCAGTCACCAGCCCTCGCCCCTCCTGCTCCACCTTTATTGTGGAGGCAGATTGGAGGAACCACTGTGATTTTATGGCATAAAAACATCCACGGGCCTTGTTTCCCTAACCTGCTGGGACATCTGTTTAAAGCCATGTCTCGGCCACACGTGAAATCCATTATTTGTTGATTTATTGATCCCTTTACCTGGGAACAGGTGTTGTGCCCCAGTCCTTGCCTGGGCCCTGGGGGTGCAGGGACAGCCCCCAGGTGCCACCCCCTGTTCTGGTGTGAGCCAGGCCCCTTCTGTCTTCCAGCCCTGACAACATGGGGCTGCTGGACCCGGACACCAGCGATGGCAGAGTGATCTTCTTCCTGCCCTGGGAGAAGATGACGATCGCAGGGACCACGGACAGCCCCACGGATGTCACCGCCCACCCCATCCCCACCGAGGAGGACATCAACTTCATCCTGTGCGAAGTGCGCAACTACCTGGGCCCCGACGTGGAAGGTAACCGGGGGGCCTTGCTGGGAGGGCTGGGGGGCATGCCAGCTTGAGGCCACACCAGCCAGGGGGGCATTGCAGCTTGGGGGGGCATGCCAGCCTTGGGGCATGCCAGTCTTGCGGGGCATTGCAGCCTGGAGCCATTCCAGCCTTGGGGCATGCCAGCCTGGGGGACACTCCAGCCTGGGGGACACTACAGCCTGGGGGGCATTCCAGCCTGGGGGCCATTGCAGCCTGAGGGGGCATGTCAGCCTGGGGACCATGTCAGCCTGGGGGCCATGCCAGCCTGGGGCACAATGTGCTGCTGCCTGAAGCTGTGGCTCTTGGCATCTGGCTGTCCCAAACTGGTGGGCTGAGGTGGCAGCATTTGCTGCTGCTGCTCCAGAGCATCCAGTCCATCACCAGCCAGCACCACCACTAACACATCTCCCCAGGTGCCACATCCACTTTTGTTTTGGGCACCTCTAGGAAGGGTGACTCCACCACTGCCCTGGGCAGCCGTCTTCCCTCCAAACTGAGGGTTTGTTTAAATTATTCTGTACTGCTGCGTTTCTGCTGCAGCATTGAAATAAGTCTGAAAAGCATTCAGGCAGGAACACTGTAACATACTTGGGTTTAGGAAAACCTGCTGTCTGGAGATAGGAAATGATCAATTCCTTGTTTCCTGAAGTGGAGAATTGATGTCTGCATGTTGTATGAAGTTCTGGAAGTGTCCAGAGAAGCAGTTGGTGTTGAAAGCGCAGGAGAGCAGGGAGGGAGATGGGAATGTGAATAGGACAGAGATTAGATGGGATATTGGGAAGAAATTCTCTCCTGTGAGGGTGGGCATGCCTGGCACAGGTGCCCAGAGCAGCTGTGGCTGCCCCTGGATCCCTGGCAGTGCCCAAGGCCAGGCTGGAGCACCTGGCACAGTGGGAGGTGTCCCTGCCGTGGCAGGGCAGGATGGGATGGGCTGTTAGGTCTGTCCCAAGCCAGGCCATGCCCTGGTTTCCCACGTGTTTTCCAGCAGCACACTCAGGAGTGTTCAGTCGCTCTGGCTCAGCCCAGCTGGGCCTGTGCTGGTTTTCCTGTGCAATTACTGTTTATAGATGGCTGGAGCTGAAATAACAACGGCACTGCCCATATCACCCCTCGACAGCCCTGCCTCTGCTGCCAGAGCCAGTGCCAGGGTTATCAGCTTCCACAGGCTTGGACACCTTCCAGCTGCTTAATTACAGCGCCACGCGTGCTGCTTTCTGTAGTTTCATTAGTTTATAAACCTAATACAGGGTCTTGTGTCTGTGATTAACACTTCATTTTGGCAGCTTGAACACGCTGGCAGAGCACATTGATTTCGGAAATCTATTCCGTGTTCTTTGGGGGATGTTTTTTACACCCTTTTAGTGATTTTTCAATTATCGGTCATTTGAAAGTTGTATTAAAACATGTTCCAAAGACTTCAGTATAAAGCAAATTGGTAACTGCACTTAGGGTGAAGGCTGTGGATAAAGACGGCTTGTCAAGAGGAAATCTTGGAATAATAACCCTCAGTCTAGAGGAAAAGCTTGGAAGATCTGAAAGGAAATGTTCTACTCATGTAACAAACTTTATTTTGGTTTATAAAATACAATGTAAGGACTGTTCAGATTCATTGGGAAGAATTTTCCTGGAAAGGGGGATAAGGCTGCAGCTGCCCAGGCAGGTTTGCAGTCCTCATTCCTGGAGCTGTCCAGGGAACACGTGGATGTGGCACTCAGTGCTCTGGGCTGGTGGCAAGGTGGGCATTGGTACCAGCTGGACTCGATGGGCTGGGAGGGCTTTTCCACCATCACTGGTTCTGGGATTCCATAGCCCAGCTTATCCCGGGGCTCTGGGGGTTGCTCAGGGCCGAGCAGGGTGTGGAGCAGCCTGGCAGTGCCCAGTGGGAGCTGGGCACCCCTGGGCTCGGGCTGGCCTGCCTCAGTGTGGCTCTGCACAGTGAGAAGAGGAGATGTGCTGGCAGCCTGGAGCGGCATCCGGCCCCTGGTGACCAACCCCGACTCCAAGGACACCCAGTCCCTGTCCCGGAACCACGTCGTGACCGTCAGCGACAGCGGCCTCATCACCATTGCAGGTACTGGGGGTTCCTTGAATACAGCTCTGCTGGGCTTCCCTGGGGTATTTAATGCAAAAATCCTGTTCTGTGGGAATCCTTCTGCTCCTGTGACCAAACCGCTCTATCAGTGGCAGCGGGACTGGCTTGGAGCAAGCCTGGCAGCAGTCCTGTGGTCTGTGGAATACAGAGACATGTCTGTAGGGTGTAAGAGGCTGTGTTCCTGCTGCTTTCCCCAAATAACGAGGTGAGCCCTGTTCCCAGGTGGGAAGTGGACGACCTACCGTGCCATGGCCCGGGACACCATCGACGCGGCCGTGCGCGAGCACAACCTGCAGGCAGGCTCCTGCAGAACCATGGGGCTGCAGCTCGAGGGGGCCCAGGACTGGAGCCCCACGCTCTACATCAGACTGGTGCAGGACTATGGACTGGAGAGTGAGGTGAGCCCTGCCTTCCTGCCTCAGAGGGGTTTGCTCTTCTCCTAAATGAAACGCCAACATACCTTGGGTAAAGGTCTGGTGAGCCCGATCAGAGCTGGGCAGAGATAGTTCTAACAGAAATAAAGTTAGTAATGGTTCATCATCTTCCCCTCTTTCCTTCCTCCTGATCTTCCTGCTAAAAACTCTCTGACTCGTGGGGTCTGTGCTCCCTGGAGCCCCCCAAGCTGTGCAGCAGCATGATCACCGTGTGGCAGGAGAGCTGGGCTGTCAGGCCTGGTGGCACAGACAGGGCAGAGCAGTGCTGGTCCAGCCTCCCACAGCACTGAGCTTCCTCCCACACTGCCACACTCCAGCACCCTTGGCAGCCTGTTTGTTATTGGGGATTAGAGAATGGTCAAGGAAAATGTGTCTTTCATGTGCTTTCAGAGCATGCTGGATTTGTTTTCCTCTCCACAGGTGGCTCAGCACCTGGCTTCCACCTATGGGGACAAGGCTTTTGAGGTGGCCAAAATAGCCCAGGTGACAGGGAAGAGGTGGCCTATTGTTGGGAAACGTCTGGTATCTGAATTTCCTTACATCGAAGCTGAGGTATGTGGAAAAACCGTGTCACCTGTGAGTCTGTCCTTGGGATGAGCAGGCCGGTGGCTCTGAAACATCTGCTTGAGCCCTTTCCTTTGAGGAAGCCAAAGGAAATTTTCTGTGCCTGTACCTGGAGCACACTTTGTGTATCGATATATACACATATGAATATATCTATCACAATTAAATATTTATATAGCGCCTATTTTGTACTTCATGTACAAATATTGGATCCCAGGTGGGTTCTATAAACTGTCCCAAGGAGAAGGGGCTCTCCCAGCCGTGTCTGGAGCTCTGGGTGCAGCCCTGCTGTCCCTTGTCCTCATGTGGGTTGTGTAAAGTGTCCCAAGGAGAAGGGGCTCTCCCATCCATGTCTGGGTCTCTGGGTGCCATCCCTGCTGTCCCTGTCCCAGGTGGTGTACGGGGTGAAGGAGTACGCGCGCACGGCCGTGGACATCATCTCGCGCCGCACGCGCCTGGCCTTCCTCAACGTGCAGGCTGCCGACGAGGCCCTGCCCCGCATCGTGGACATCATGGCCAAGGAGCTCAACTGGAGCGAGCAGAAGAAGAAGGTACAAAGGGCCCTTTTCAGCTCCAGCTGCTTTGTTTTGCTCAAGGAGTTTCCCTGTTAAGAAGGAATAGAGAGCTACAAGTGATGTTTTATTCCTGGCAGAATGAGTCACTTGGTGCATTTCATTCTAAAGGCTTTATCAAATGGCTGTGAGATGGGTGGGGATTGGCCAGGGGATGGAGGGGGGGGGAAGATCTGTATCCTGTTGCTCCCCAGCCTTAGAAATGAAAGCAGGCTTGGCATTGCTGTCCTATTCCTGTCAGTTATTTTGCTTTATTGACACTTTTCAACAGATCTGCCTCAGCAAAGGAAGCTCCTGTAACCATAAAGAACCTGCCTGGTGTTGAGCTCCCTGATTTTTTTTCTGATTTTGGACAGCTGAGTCCAAATCATCACACTAAAGATCACACTAAATCATCATCACACTAAGATATCAAATGGGAGAAAAATGACAAGTTGTAGGCCTAGCCTAAAAAGGCCATTTCTTTCTGAAAGGGACAGTCAGACTGTGTGTGACTGAAGGTGTGGATGCACCCGAAAGCATTCACACAAAAATTGGAAGTCTTTACTAGCATGGATACCTTTTGCAAAGAGTAAAAAGTGCCTAAGTTTAACTTTTTGATACTTCTCAGCTGCCATCTGCTTAATTTTGGGACCTTAGAAAAGTATTGGTTAAGTGAAAGAACCTAATAGTAAAGTATAAAAAATAAGTACCTGCGTAAGAACTTGCTATTGCTCAGATACTCAGGTTTTGTGTTTTCATTGTAGGAGGAGCTTGAAACGGCTAAAACATTCCTGTACTATGAAATGGGCTACAAAGTGAAAACAGATCAATTAACAGATAGCTCTGAGATCAGCCTGGTGCCTGCAGACATTGAGAGGTGAGTGTGGCTCTGAGATCAGCCTGGTGCCTGCAGACATTGGGAGGTGAGTGTGGCTCTGAGATCAGCCTGGTGCCTGCAGACATTGGGAGGTGAGTGTGGCTCTGAGATCAGCCTGGTGCCTGCAGACATTGAGAGGTGAGTGTGGCTCTGAGATCAGCCTGGTGCCTGCAGACATTGAGAGGTGAGTGTGGCTCTGAGATCAGCCTGGTGCCTGCAGACATTGGGAGGTGAGTGTGGCTCTGAGATCAGCCTGGTGCCTGCAGACATTGAGAGGTGAGTGTGGCTCTGAGATCAGCCTGGTGCCTGCAGACATTGGGAGGTGAGGGGGGCAGGAGGGCTGCCCGTGCTGCTGTCCCTGCAGCCCGGGGAGCCCTGACATGCAGCCCCTCCCTGCAGGTACAAGAAGCGCTTCCGCATGTTTGACAAGGACAAGAAGGGCTTCATCACCATCCTGGACGTGCAGCGTGTGCTGCAGGTGAGCTGCCCCTGCTCCTGGCTCCCTCTGGGAGCAGCCTGCTGAGGGCTGAGGCCAGGCTGCTGAGCTGAGCCCCTCTCCTGTGCTCGTTGTGTGCAGAGCATCAGCGTGCAGATGGACGAGAACACCCTCCACGAGATCCTCAACGAGGTGGATCTCAACAAGAACGGGCAGGTGGAGCTCAACGAGTTCCTGCAGGTACGTGCCTCACCTGGTTCCAGGAAAGGCTGGTTTCTGAGCAGCACACAGCTAGGGAGCTTTTCCCCTTGCTCAGGGCTGGGTGGAGACCAGGGCAGTGCTCCTGTGGTGGTACAGGGGGCACACAGAGCATCCTCAAGCAGCTCAGAAATTCAGAAAAAAATGCTTTTTTTCCCAGTCAGACTCAAATAACAGGTCAAATTTACAAAGCATGCCCCAGTCCAGAGCTGAATTTGGCATTTTAAGCCCAGAAATGCTGTTTAAATGTATTTAAAAGGATACAGGTGTCCATTGGAAGGTTCATGGCGCAGGTGTGCACACTGACATTATCCTCAGCTGTTAAGGGTTGTTATAAAAATGAGTAAACTAAGAAACTGAATAATAAACAACTAAATAACCAAGTATTTATAATGATAGGTAGTAATATAACCACAATGATGATAAACTAAATAACTAAATTATAAACTGAATATTATAAAGAATGAGCTTGTAGTTAGAGCCCATCCCAGGCCCTATAACCCATTTTAATTCCTGGATTGGCTAAATTGTCCCAGTTTCTCTGAAAAAAATGACATGCATCTGCTTTTTGGGGGGCGTTCAAGCAAACCCAAGGGTGCTCCCTTTGCATATGCAGTTTGTCAGCTGGGCTGGTGTTTGAGGAGTCTTTTTTGGGGTGGTATTTCAGAGCCTGCTGTGTCTCCCCTGCCTGGTGGCAATGATGAATGCCAAACAGGAGAGAAATTAATGCTGGGGATTTTGGTCAATGTCAGCCCTTTCTTCACTGTGTCAAGTTAAACAAACAAGATCAAGGCAAAGGAAATGGTAATTGTCTCTCTGGAGATGAGCTGGGGATAAGAGCAGCATTGTTGAATCTAAATGCAGAAAATTTTCACAGGTTGTGTCCAGCATTAGCAAAAAGGAGTGTTTATTTGCCTAAAATGCAGCAATTGAGCTGAGGGGCTGTAGTGAACTGGGGGGAAGGGGAAAAACCAAACCAAACAGGCCAGGGGGAAGGAGAACCAATGGCTTTGGGATTTATGCTGACCTGTTCAAACGGGAGAGAGCAGCCCAGCTGGGTTCTGGCTGCTGGAAAGGGACACCCTGGTACCTCCACTGGGGCAGCCCAGCCCTTTCTGCAGGGCTGAGCTGGGGTTGGGTACATTGGCTGGGGAGCTAAAACAACCAGTAATTGTTGTTCTGTGGGGTTTGGGGGCGTTCTGGGGTGTTTTTGCTGGGCTGACCAGGCTCACCAGGGATTGCCAGCCCTACATCATCCCATAGAATGCAAAGGCCAGGCAGTGCTTAGGAGTGTTTCAGGGTTGTTTGTGCAAACCTGTGTCACTCTGTGGCTCCTGCAATCTCCCAGAGCAGCAGTGATGGGGATGCCTTGTTCAGGCTGCCCTGGAGCAGAGGCTGGACAGAGTCCCAGAATAAAGCAGGGATTTATTCACAGCATCTCCTCCATGGATCCACCTTGGGCAGCACCAAAGCCCAGCCAGGGCTGCACCCAAGATGAACCAAAATGGCCCCAAAATGCACGGCCGGGCACGGGCTCTGTCCCTGGGATCAGTTCTGCTCCATTTGCACCTTGCAGTTCATTGTCCCATCCCAGCTTTAGCCCCTGCACTCCCACCCTGCTTGTTTTTCTCTCTCCAGCCCATGGGGTTTGTGCTCCTGGGCTGAGATTTGGGTCATTTGTCCTCGGTGCCCAGCTGGAGCAGGAATTGTTTTGTCTCCCTGCTCTGTGCACAGAGCTCAGCATCGCTGAATGTGAAGCTCAGAGCTGCTCACTAAAGCAGCACAGAGCCTGAAACATAGAAAACCTAAACCTGAGGCATCAATGGCCCTGCAGGGCTGAGCCCTCTCCTGTGCC